GAGTTTCATTTTTCATTTATTCATTAAACATGGTTAGACCTATTTAAGACTGTGCTAGATACTATGGGCTAACCAAAGATGTATATTTAATGTTGTTTCTTTAGAGTTCAGAATCTGGTAGAATTACTTAAGTCATTATAATACTTTGTAGACTATGAAACATTTCAGGTCCTGTGGAATTTAGGGATGAAGGAAATTACATTTATTTGAGAAGTCTGGAGAAAACCACAGGCAAAAGTCACTTCTTGGCTCACAATATTAAGTTTTAAAAGATGGGATACAGTACTATATTCAGTTTTCTCCCAATTTTGTTACATCTATAGTAAAAAGGAAAATGTTAATATTTATGAAGGAAAAAATTTAGACACACTCACATAGTAACAAGGTATCTTCTAATAGAATATAACTGATAGTTTTTACTTTTTCATTACCTATTCAACATTTCTTAGGTGAGCTGTTTATTCCCTTTATTTTGGCTTAAAACACCCATGCTGTCTGTGCATCAGGGACCTACACTGCTGGTTCCATGATTTTGCAGAGACATGGACAACGGTACTGGAGCTACAGTATGCTGGCTCCTAAAGCTTCTGCCCAGACATAATTCACACCTTTTCTGATCATATTTAATGGTCAAAATCCAGGCTTTGCCTGAATGAAGTTGGGTGGAGAAGTGTTACCCTAATCACATGCTCCGAACGGGACAACCAAGTATTTGTGACTTCTTAATGATGACCCAGTTGCTAGAAGAATTGCTGATATCCTTCTTTTTGTTCCTCTCTCCCTGGGAAACACATCAAGCCACTGACCTCTCTTGTTAGTTTCCTACCACTTTCTCTCCTCGCTTCCATTTTCCAAGGAATATAGGCTAGCCATAGAGCAAAACCCAAAGCTCTTAGTATAAGAAGTAAGGCTGGATTAGAGAGGGCTCTTGCGGGGGTCAGGTCAGAAACCCAACCAGTGTAAGTACAAAGGGGAACTGACAGACTCCGAGGTGGGTAGGATAAGGAGTAGCCCCCAGGACTGCAAGAACCAAAGTCTCAGGGAGTAGAACCAGGACTTTATGCTTCCCGTGTTTATTCTCTCCCATGTTTGTCTCTCATCTGTTTGCTTTGCCTGACTTCATTCTCTTCTTCTACATGAAGACAGCTCTTTTCCACGTGGGGGAAACATAGTCACTGGCAGCCTGACCTTCACATCTCTCTAGCTCTGTGATGCCAGGGACAAGACCACTGGGTTTTTTTGTTTTTTTGTTTTTTTGTTTTATTTTTATTTTGAGAGAGAGTATGTGTGTGTGAGTGAGGTGGAGCAGGGAGGGCCAGAGGGGGAGAGAGAATCTTTTTTTTTTTTTTTTAAAGATTTTATTTATTTGACAGACACAGTGAGAGAGGGAACACCAGCAGGGGGAGTGGCAGAGGGAGAAGACGGTTTCCCGCCAAGCAGGGAGCCTGATGCGGGGCTCGATCCCAGGACCCTGGGATCACGACCTGAGCTGAAGGCAGATGCTTAATGACTGAGCCACCCAGGTGGCCCAGAGAGAGAATCTTAAGTAGGCTTCACACTGGGGGCTTGATCTCCCAACCCTGAGATCATGACCTGAGCTGAAACCAAGAGCTGGATGCTTAACGGATGGAGCCGCCCAGATGCCCCAAGGCCACTGGTTCTTTAGTTCCACATGGAGATCTCTCCAGAAAGGACTCTAATTGGCTCACCTGGTATCACCTGCCTACCTTGGACCAATGATTGTGTCCGGGATACGATACCATGATTGGCCAGGCCTGGGTCACATGCCCCTCCAGGGAGGACAAGATATGAATTATCAGAATAAGGGGGATGGTGCACTTGGTGGGACAAATAAAAACAATAGCTACTCTAGTCTAATTAGAATTAGATATGCCTAGGGCGATCTTTTAAAATTGTAAGTCCAATTATGTTACCCAGCCCCCCCCCCATCTACCAACTGAAAACTACTTTCTACTTTCCATTGCATTTAAAGTAAAACCCAGGGCGCCTGGGTGGCTCAGTTGGTTAAGCGACTGCCTTCAGCTCAGGTCATGATCCTGGAGTCCCTGGATCGAGTCCCGCATCGGGCTCCCTGCTCAGCGGGGAGTCTGCTTCTCCCTCTGACCCTCTTCCCTCTCGTGCTCTCTATCTCTCATTCTCTCTCTCTCAAATAAGTAAATAAAATCTTTAAAAAAATAAAATAAAAAAAATAAAGTAAAACCCAAATTAGTTCTTTGAATTTTCAGTGCACTACTTCTTCTGACTTCTCCTTACCTTCCAGATTATTTTACCTTCTCTCATGACTCACCAACAAGGCATCAGCTAGCTACAAGGGCCTAAAATTTGACAGCACACAGGTTAAGAAGCCTGGCTAAACCAAACCCTATATCCCCAGGCTCACCTTGAACCCTGTGCTCTTATTTTAGTACTGATCTCACTAGCTTAATCACATTACCTAATTCACAAGGAATTTGCCTATTTGTATAACATTCATCTGGAAAATATTGCAGGAAATTTAAATCCAGTGTTAAAAATGTCACATCGGAGAGCCCCAACTCTACAAATCAGGTTCACAGTCAGCTCTTTATTCTGCAGTATATAATCTTAACTTAAAATGCAATAAAAACAAAGTGGAGTTCTGTTGTTCACACACTTTAAAATAGGTCTTTGTTTACAGTAGAGGCCAAGCAATTTGGGAGAGGACTTAGAGGAAGGTCTCCAAGGGGTACTGTTCAGGTACTACAAATTCTGAGCTTGTAGTTGGAGCCAGATTGAAGATAATCGAGTTTATGCTGATTGCCACTTGACATGTGCAAGTACAAGAAAGTAAAATGTATTTGTTCTAGGGTTCCTCAAAATTGCATTGCCTAATTTGATTCCATGAGGGGGAAAAAGTGTTAAAGAGACTTGAGTCTAGGGAGATTTTGATTAAAAAGAAAAGCACTCGGCGTTTGGGCTTTTCTGGTGTGTAGGCAGTTACAGGCAGCCATATGTTTACTTTGTAAATTCCAGTTGAGGGTGCAACATAAGCTGTTTCAGTTTGGGTGGAAGTTTTGTCAGGCCTCACAAATGAGATTTGTACTGTTAGGAGTTTGCCAGATTTTTTTGCAGGGGCTGTGGGCAGGTCCATGGTAATTAAGGAGAGTCTACTGCTAATTTGTTTTCGTAAGAGTAAATCCTGAGAAGCTCTTCCTTGCAATAGAAGGAATGATGGAATTAGAATATCATCATTTGGTGATGATTATGGTACTGTTTTGGGCAAGAATCACCCATGGGTAGGGTGCTAAAATTGGTGGATGAGACTCTGAGAAACAGGATATTTATGTAGTCTCAAAGTATCTCTCCACAAGATATTTCTTAAATGCAAAGGGGAGTAAGAAGGGAAGGTACTTTGTAGTTCCTAATGAGACACCATCTTATTCAAGTGCTTCCTACTTCCCAGGGTGGGGGTGTAAGAGGATGAAGGGTGGGAAGCGGGACGCAGGGGCTGTCTAGAGCCTGGGCCGTCTAGAGCCTGGGCCCTTCTCCTGTCGCTCTCTCATCTGCAAGCTTGTGAGTGTAGGTCCCTCTCTTCCCACACGCCCCACGGTCACTCCCTCTTCTCCCAAAGCCAATGCCGCCTTCTGTGGTCATGATTAGATTCCATTCTGGTTATGTTTGTTTGTTCCTTTATTGACGGTCTGCTGTGTGCAAACTCCAGGGGATTCAGCGTTAAATAAGACAAGCCCTTGATCTCTAAGATTTTCCAGTTGGTGCTAGAGGAAAATATCGAATAAAATATTATAGCCCTTTGTATCTGTAGAGGTATGCATGGGATGCACAGGAGTACAAAGGGCCGCACCAAACTAGCTGATGCTCTCAAATCATTGAAAATACTTTGATATTGATTGGTAAAAAGCCACAAGCTGAGCCCCTGGCCACTTCCCTGGGATGCTCTTCACTCACATGCCTCAAGAGAATAATGAAAAGATTAAACCCAACACAGCAGAGGCCTCTCAGACTGCTCTTATATTTTTCCACTCCTGATTGCCTAATCCTGCATGAAAGGTCAGACAAGGCTTTCTGGAAGAGGTGATGTGCATGTCAACAATGAACGAAGTTAGCCAGGTAAAGCACAGCATCTGTTCAGGCCCCTGGATCAGGGAGAGAACGTGTCGCATCTGAGAAACCAAGGTACACTGAGTAATACAGCTCATCTGATGCTGGGGAAGGGTGGTGAGAAATCGCTTCAAGAGGTAAGTTAAGGCCAGATCAGAAAGAGCCTTGTAAGCCCCACTAAGACACCTGAACTTGATTGAACAAGCTATAAATTGCCTGTGAAGAAGTTTGAGATGGAAAGCAACACAACTGGATTTATGTTTTAGAAAAATAGTTGTGGCGTTAAGTGAAGGAAAGCGGTTGAGGGGCAAAAGACAAAAACAAAAAACCTGTTAACAGACTGTGGAAGTAATTCACGCAGGAGATGAGCACCTCTTCTAAAGCAGAATTAGTATGGAAATAGATAAATGGTTGGAATACAAAAACATTAAACCTGACTTTTTCCCTATGTGACTACAATAAATTTCAAAGACCTGTTAAAAAAAAAAAAAAGGTAGAATCAATAGGGCTTTAAGACTGGATTGATGAGCTACCTGTTATAAAATTTTAAAAACATATTTAGCATTAGATAGAATAATTTTATCCAGAGTGAACCATTTGGTAAGCCTTTTATATATGCTTCCAAAATGAAGAGTTGATCTTGCACAGGAACTTAGGGTGGCTGGCTCATTTCCAAACCATTATTTTCCGAAGCTCTGCAGGTAAAAACTCTGCATTTGCTAGCCTTTGGACAATTATGGTGGGGTTACACTGCAGGTTTTGTCGTTCGCAGTGCAAAAGAGAGTGAAAAAACAGTACAACTTTGACGGTCGTAGGTCCCCGATTTTAGGAAACCCGCATCCTCCATCAGTATCTCTGGTGCGTACTCTGACCTGCATTTCTTGGGGTGGCCCCGTTCCCAGGATGGATCATGAAGCTGCCCAGCTGGAGAAGCAACATGTGCATGATGTGTATGAGAGCACGGCACCTTACTTCAGTGACCTGCAGAGCAAAGCCTGGCCTCGGGTCCGCCAGTTCCTCCAGGAGCAGAAGCCTGGCAGCCTCATCGCTGACATAGGTAACCCGGGCTTGTGCCCCGTAGTCTGAAATATATTCTCTTGTGCCTTTCCTTTTCAGATGCATCTCACATTTCTGTTCTAACCAGAAGTCTGAAATTGTGTCCTTGGCCTGCCAGTACCTAGACTACTCAACCTTAGAGCAGAAATTCACCAAGTCAGAAAGTAGGAAACTTTTTGAAATCTACATTCACACAATGGTGACCTTTTCGAGAGCCTCCGCGCACGCACATCCTCCAACAAAATCGACCTGACATGGAATGAATAAATCATGACTGAGATGACTGTGGGTGAAACTGACCATTTAAAACTTGGAAACATTCACATTTGTAAATAACATTCGGTGGCTCACCTTGACTGGCTCTCTTGCCTTCTTCTACAGAAGAGTCAGAATTGTGGGATTACACAAGAGGTCCCGTAACCTCTTATTAGTCTCATAGATCCTTTTCCCTTAACTATTCTGTAGGTCTTTCATTATTAGAGCCTTTCTTTAATTAGATCATATCTTCGTAATCACTGATTTGCCTGGAGGACTTTGGCTCAGTATCTTTCTGAAGCAAGAAGTGGTAAACCACAACCCAGCAGATCTAAGACTAAGGTTTAAGACATGGTAGGATTCCCACTTGAGGCATGCCCACCTAAAACTGCTTTCCAGCAACTGCGTGCAGACTGTGCCCAGGAGAGTCATAAATCTGCAGTTACCAATTCCATCTGATTTGACATTTACTCTAAACATTTACTCTAAATATTAGTAAGAGAAACAGATGTGTATCCATGGCTTTTAGCATATTAAAGGTGGTATGAGCAGGGTGGAATCTGGGAAAGGGATGCATGCCATATAGAAACGGAGAGACTTTGAAAACTATATCGTGTCGACTTTTAAAAATTAACTGCAGTTTCAGAAGATACAGTGAGTTTGGAACTCTTACCACCCTCGATGTCAGCAAAGTGCCAGAATCTTAAAATCAGTTAGGAAGAAAAGGAACCATTCCATTAGTGGCTTTGGGACAACAGTATAATTATATGCTACTTTCTCATACCTTACCCCCAAAATTCCAAATGAAGCAAAGATTTAAATATGAGAAAATGAAATTGTTAAAGGACTAGATGATTGACAACTAGATTATTTTTAAAAATATCCTCAGAGGCAAAAGCCCCTTCTATGTGTAACACCAAGGAAAGTCAGAAATCATAAAAGACAATACAGTTGTCATTATTCACAGTACCTATGTTAAATTGATAAAATTGCCATGAACACTGACTTCATGAATACTGAATTACTGCCCCTAGAGGAAATGTAGGATCAGGTTCCTGTGAGCCTCTGGTCACAACATTTTGGTCAACTGATCAATACCTAACCTTGTTTCATGCTTCTGTCTATTTGAAGACACATTATGATGATACAGTATGGATTCTTTAACATTAAACTCAAGGCCAACACACTATATAACTCATGCCTGAACATAATTTATTGAACACATATATTTTGTCCATAAGGCTCGTTAGAGCCATCTTGGGCTTAGGAACCCTTCATAGCACTTGAATTCCATGGTCAGGGACCATCCTAAACCGTGAAGTCACTGACACAAAGCACAAAATTGTGGCACTAAATAAATAGACCACAGAAAGAGCACTTGTTGATAGGATGAGAACCAAAACAAGACACTGGCCAGACACCTCAGGCAACTCAAATTTTTCCAAATTTTTGCTGCTCTCTCTCTATATATAAGCAGGCTTGTCGGTGAACCACTGTGCAAGTGCTTGAGTATTGACGTGGGGGGCACAGATTTTATCACGTAGGTGAACGTGCAAATATGGAACCTGTGAGTAAAGAAGATCGACTATATGGATATCTTTGGCCATATAAAAAATTCTACAAGGTAAAAATCTAGACAAATATATAAATGAAGTCAAAAAACAAAAATTAAGTAAAAATATCTGCAATTTATCTGATAGAAAACTGGATAATTTTCTGAATCTACAGGGCATTCTTTAAAGTCAGTACAAAAGAATAGGACCAAAATTAAAAAAAAAATGAGGAAAGGATACGAACAGAAAATTAAAAAAAGGAGGACTACCACTTGCTTAAAATTGTTTTCCTGGCTGATGTACTTACATGGCTCAGTAACAAAGGTACCAAAGGGTATATAGTGAAAAAGATGCCATCCCAGCCCTGCGGCACCAAGTAACCCAGGCCGGAAGCAATTAGCTTTTTGTATCATCTTGAGATATTTCAAGTATAAGCATTTACATATGTGTACATATGGGTGGATTGTCCTTTTTTGATTACCCAAATGGTGGTATGCTATACAAACCTAGCTTTTGTTTCCTTTCATATGTTCTGATCATCCCATGTGTGTGCTTATAGAGCTGCGTCGTATTAAAACCTGCATAGCATTCTCTGATAATAGCACCGTATTAACAGATACATGTCGTCTGCTCGATCTTGCTCCTACAAATTATGGCGCAAATAATATTCTTTAGATACCCCTGTGCAACTCCATAATTTTACCTAGTAAATATTTGTTTTACCCATTTGTATCTTCCGAATTTTGTGCTTTTACATTTTTTTAACTACTCAATAAATGAATGGTACTATTTTGATTACACAATGAGAGAGAGGGTTTTTTTAAAAATATTTTATTTTTTTTAAAGATTTTATTTATTTGTTAGAGAGAGAGCATGGGTGAGAGAGAGTGAGCAAGGGTACAAGCAGGGGGAGCTGCCGGCAGAGGGAGAAGCAGGCTCCCTGCTCAGCAAGGAGCCTGAGCGGGACTCGATCCCAGGGCCCTGGGATCATGACCTGAGCCGAAGGCAGACGCTTAACCGACTGAGCCACCCAGGCGTCCCAATATTTTATTTATTTTAGAGAGAGAGATAGTCTAGGGAGAAAGAGATTGAGAGCAGGAAGAAGGGCAGAGATAGAATCCCAAGCAGACTCCAAGCCCAGCATGGAGCCGAATGGGGGGCTCGATCCCCTGAGATCATGACCTGAGCTGAAACCAAGAGTTGGATGCTCAACTAAGCCACCCAGGCACCCCAAGAGATAGATTTTAAAATAAAAATGAAGTTAAAGAAAAAATAAATGAAAAGAAAAGAAAGAAGCCCAAGGAGATTAGAAGAAAAGAAAGTAGGATAGGGGCGCCTGGGTGGTTCAGTTAAGCGGCTGCCTTCAGCTCAGGTCATGATCCCAGGGTCCTGGGATGGAGCCCCACATCAGTCTCCCTGCTCAGTGCGGAGCCTGCTTCTCCCTCTGCCTGCAGCTTCCCCTGCTTGTGCTCTCTCTCTCCGACAAATAAATAAATAAAATCTTAAAAAAAAAAAGAAAGTAGGATAATATGACTATCTCCAAAAGGAAATATTTTTTTCTTTCCAGTTTTTCCACGTCGCTAAAATCAATTATTACGTTGGCAACTGACTAGTTATTAGATTAGCAATTTATAGTTAATTACGAGTAAAACTTTGCATAAGTAATAAACATTTGGAGGTAATTGGGTTCCAGTTGCCCATACAGTAATTTCCTAGGCTGTTTTCACTATTTAAGTGGTGCAACTTTCAGTTGATTAAAATTTTATTAACCACCTCACCCCATTCTCCAATTGAGCTGATTTGCTGAGGTGTGGATGAAGGGTTCCTGATGGCAACTAAGTCTTCAGGGCGGGTATCAAGAATTAAGTGAGCAGGAACTATAGCCTAAGTGAAAAGAACTTGGATGATTTAAAGACAGCAGAAATCCCAAGTCTCTCAGGAAATACTAGGCTCTGTGCAGTCGTGGCAATGCCATTACCTAAGATGGGCTAGTCACTAAGGACATTAGATGGGGCATGGAGGGTGTTCTGGGGTTTGAGAGCTTTATTTAGATTAGTTTAGAAATCAGGAAAAAGACCAGAGCCTGATTCTTTTTGGGCAAGGTTACCTTTTTACCCAACATCAGAGACAACTGTCTGTCCCACTAGTATTGAAAATTGCATTTTTGCATACATAATAAAAATGAACTTTTCAATAATTAAGATTCCCTTTGCCTCTTCACTGTATGTACTTGTTCCCAGTCTCTGTGGTCAGATTTGATTTGCAAGTCATTCTCTATTTACCATTCCTTCACTGAATCAATGGAAATGTAGAACCTCTGCTTTGTGGTGGGCACATTATATGCCTACAGAATAAAACATATCCCTTCATCTCTGGTTTCAAGAAATGTATATAAAATGGGAAATAAATAGGCTATACATTCTTCTCTTTCCCATGGGAAAAGAGAATTCTCTTTCAGATAACGGTTTTAGCAACAAAACAAAAACTTAATTTAAAAAATGTCATTCCTACAAACTTGAGAGGAAACAGATTAATTATTTCTAGCAAACACTTGCCCACCGTGCACCAGAACATTTTGTGGAATTGGGGCAAGTATCTGTTTTCTTCTCTGAGTGTGGTGCAGAATGGAAAAAAGAGGGAATGGAAGCCTACAGACACTTTGTTTGCTCGCTTCAGTACTACGAGAGGTTATCCTTTAATGCAATTTTGTAAAGCAGCACGAGTGTTGCGTGCTGGAGCTTGCTGCAATATCAAAATGTTCTGATAGGCTTCTTGCACATTTAAGATAACGGGGTCACAAGGCTTGGCAGTGTTCCCCATCTCCTCATTAGGATAAAATCTGCCCCTCTTTAGCATCTTAGTGTACGCAGCTGGAAAATAAATAATGGCATCATACTTGGGAGATCCACCACTATCCTTAAAACGGAATGTCATCAGGAATGAATATGGGATTGGGATGGCCTGGGTGGCTCAATCAGTTAAGCGTCTGCCTCCGGCTCAGGTCAGGATCTCAGGGCCCTGGGATGGAGCCCCATGTCCAGCTCCCTGCTCAGCAGGGAGTCTGCTTCTCCCTCTCCCTTTGCCCCTCCCCCTGCTTGTGCTCTTTCTCTGACAAAAAAATAAAACCTTAAAAATAATGAATATGGGATAAATCAAGGGTGCCATGGGCCCTGAAAGCCTTTCAGGAGATGCTGAGATTTGAAAAGGCCCAAGTGGTTTCAGTACTGCCAGATGCCCTCTGAACACCTCCCTCTAGCTCGAATGGTCCACAAACCTGTTCTTCTTTCTTGTTTTTTACTTTTTAAATTCCAGCATCATTAATGGACAGTGTTATATTAGTTTCAGGTGCACAATGTAGTGATTCAAACATTCTGTACACTGCTCAGTGCTCATCACGATAAGTGTGCTCTGGATCCCCTTTGCCTGTTTCACCCATCCCTCCCACCCCCCCACCCCCTATAACCAGCAGTCTATCATGAACCTGTTCTTATTCGCCTCTCTATGGTAATTTTCCATTTTTCTAAAGGTATCCCCTGAGCCAATTAAAATAAAAAAAGCAAACGGATTTGCAAGACTATTTTTTCTTCAACTATGACCATCATCTTTGAAATATTCAGTACTGCCATTTTAAAATACTTTGTGATTCCTATTTTCCCCATAACTCCCCTCAAATATTGGTTTCTTTTTCTCGTAAGTATTGGGAACCAGGGCTGTGAGATCTAAAATATTTCTAAGACCCCAGTCACTTACATTGAAATAATCACACTGGAAATCTTATTTTTTTATTCACAGACTTGCCACTGTCTCAGCTGGCATCGATGAACTTTAATTATGCTTTTAGTGTCTCATATAATTTTGAATGGCCTATTAAGAGGGAGTTATTAGAGCATTGTGACATATTTCCGAAGCAGCCAACTAAACGTCCTTGATTAGTGGTAGATATTTTTTTCAGGGAGAAAAATCTAGAGCTACTGCCAGTAAGCACAAATATCAGCTCTAATGATATCTTTAAATATTTCTGGAAAAGGAATTAGCTGCTATGTCTGGGCAAATATAATACTAGGTACCAGATTCTAGAAGGTTTTGTTTCAAGACGGTTACTCACTCCTATTACTTCCTTCTTCATTGTAGTATCAGATCTGATTGATCTAGATCTTTGGGTTGTGTAAATATTGAATTCTTTGGGTCTCTACCACCAGAAAATGAATGTCAAAAATGGTCTGTTTAAGAAAATAATTCTAAGAGTTGCATACTGAGTCAACAGAGATCATTTAAAACTTAGAACTGACAATAGATTGGATGAAAAGATACTGAAATTCCCTTTTCATTCAAATTCAACATTTTTGAAAAGCATGTTCTATTGTATACATTCTTTTATTTATATCCAATGAAAAATGGTGGGCAGTAGTTTGTTTTACACAGCCAGCGAGTGGTAAGAATGTCTGGGGAGAGGGGCGCCTCGTGGCTCAGTTGGTTAAGTGTCTGCCTTTGGCTCAGGTCATGATCTCAGGGTCCTGGGATTGAGTCCTACATCAGGCTCCCTGCTCCGTGGGGAGCCTGCTTCTCCCTCTGCCTCTGCCTGGCCACTCCCCCTACTTGTGCTCTCTCTCTCCTTGTCAAATAAATAAATAAATAAATAAATAAATAAATAAATAAATAAATAAATAAAACCTTTAAAAAATGTCTGGAGAGATAATATGAGAATAAATGCCATCACAGACAGACCTTTGCATAATGAAATATGTATGTGAAGGTAGCTTTTATAAAGGACTGAGCATCACTCCCGGGGTCTAGGAAACCCCCTCTCCTGCCATGAGCCAGCTAACAGTCTTAGGTGGCACTAGCGTGCTCACCCCTATAGGCATGACCTCATTAAATGTTTGACAAATATAATTTCTTTTTCCCAATTCCTCTCCCTCTCCTCCTATAAGTGAAAACCTGTAGGTGCCCTCTGGAGATTTTTCTTTGGCTTTTGTGAATACCTTCATGCCATGCTGTTACTGGTCTCGGTTCGTTAATACAAAGTTATTTCTATTGCTTGTAAGAAAAACTGTGCGTTCTACTTTCCCAGAAAGGGCAACGCGTAACACAGGTTTTTCTCTTACAGGTTGTGGGACTGGAAAGTATCTTAAAGTGAACAGCCAGGTATACACCCTGGGCTGTGACTACTGTGGGCCATTGGTAGAGATTGCCAGGAGCAGAGGATGTGAAGTCATGGTATGTGACAACCTTCAGCTCCCCTTTAGGGACCAGGGCTTGGATGCTATCATCTCCATAGGAGGTAAGGCAGCCTCTGGCCACACGTTCGCTCTTCACCTTGAGAATGACATTACATGGTGGAGGCCCTTCTCACAACTCAATGTGCATTCTTTGTAGAAATGTCTATGTGATTCATGTGATCTAATTTTTATTAAAAATATTTCAACTGGGGCGCCTGGGTGGCTCAGTTGGTTAAGCAACTGCCTTCGGCTCAGGTCATGATCCTGGAGTCCCGGGATCGAGTCCCGCATCGGGCTCCCTGCTCAGCAGGGAGTCTGCTTCTCCCTCTGATCCTCTTCCCTCTCATGCTCTCTCTCATTCTCTCTCTCTCAAATAAATAAATAAAATCTTTAAAAAAAATAAATAAAAAATAAAAATATTTCAACTGGATTCCTGGACTAATCTCAAAGGTACTTGATGGTGGTACATGGGATTGTGATAACTAGTCAAGGCCTCCAGTTGGTATTGTATTCTCTCCGATGACTCATTCCCAGTGCTTTTACTTATGAGTAAGAAAGCATTAAGGGAATTTTACTCATTGGAATATTTTGTACTTGGTTATATTGAAGTGAAGCCAGATTTTTCCAATGTGAAGTAGAACTTTAGAAGTCATATTACCTGCTTTAGGTTGCTAGTGTGTCCTTTATTAGCAGGACATTATAAAACTGATGCACTGAATGTCACCTGCAGGCTGTGTCATGCAACCTACCGCTCAATGATGCATAAGGCACCAGGGAAGATGGCCCCACCCGGTCCCAGACTGCGTTGTTTTTACAATGCCACTCAGCTCTCTTAATGCCAAAGATTGTTCAGAAGTCTAGGGAATATGTTGCTATTTTCCCAGCAAGCGTGCCCATACAAACACACAGGCCACAAATGAAAAGAAACAACAAAACCCCATGCCTGAAATAGACACAGGTAAGGCTCTCTTACGCAATGCACGTAATTCTGAAACCGAGTACGTTAGTCCTATTTAAATACGCTAGGGAAAGTTGCAGCAATTTCTTTCGCAAAGAGGAAAATCTTCTGCACAGCAAATCATTTGCTCCAATACACTTAAAAGATTAATCTATTTGACTCCAGTGAGCTTCGTCAAAGCAAGGGGATCCTACATAAAATTGACTAGATACAAAACTGATTGTCAGATAAAAATACAGAGTAAGACTATTTGCTCTCTCCTGAAGGAAATGAGGACTCGCCCTATTTGACCTTAGATGGGGACTCTATCTCTGCTTAGCGAGGGGATGCAGGCCTGGATGCCACAGCCGTGAAAGTCCTTAGGACTGGTAGGAGACGGTTGCCATGAAAACCTGCTCTACGACAGCCACTGTTAAGTCCATTTGGGGCCTCAACATGAAGAGGAGGGATTCCTGTTACACCAAGCAACTCATTACAATGCTTTGAATCTTGAGTGGAAAGAAAGTTTCGGGGTTGGTCATTCTACCTAAAGAACAAGAAATTGCGGCGACATCAGAGAAGTGTATTCTTTGTTCTTTTTGTTGGTTGACATCAGTTTTAGTCTGCAAGGCTCCCCACGTCCAGGCTGTGCCCGTGGGGCACCATTGTGGGCAGGGGGAGACTGCCTGGCTTTCCTGCGCCTGGGAAATGCTCTAAGTCTCTCTTGGCTTTCAACAGAAGTCTCACGACTTGTCGGCAGAAGAAATGCAACACACCTGGTTGCCATCTTCTGAAGAAAAATGTTTCCTTAGGTGGAAACACACCATGTATTTTTAGGAACTGTAACTATAAATTAATGTGATGTGGTCATTTCAGCCAGGTTTCACATTTAGAACCATATTATGAAAAATTTTGATAGTCTGTCTCTCTTATGTCTATTTATATTTACTTCCCTGTTTAGAAATCTGTATGTTGGCACTTTTTGCTAATCTTCACATGAAGAAATATACATTTTTTGCTTTTCCATGTCTCTTAATAATAATAATAATTTGAAAGGTAAGCATCATACCTAATGATACATTTGTTATGTTTTCCTGGCAGATTGGAAAAAGAAACACTCTTTTCACTTACTTTTAGAATAGCCTGATAGTTCTATGAAAATTTAGCAATATATTAAAACAGTACCAATCAACTATTTATTTTATGCCAACGGTTCTCAACTTGGGGTTATGTTATTGCCCCCACCAGCCTTAGGGGACACTTGTCCTTGTCCGGAGACATTTTCAGCTGGCTCAGCTGGATATGTGTATGCACAACCGACTATCACCTAGTAGGTGGCCCCCTACAACAAAGAATTATCTAGTCCGAAATGTCAGGAGTGCTGAGGTTGGAATGCTCTGCTTTATGCTAAACCTATGGATTCTGAATGCTTTTAGATAGAGAGATGAGACCTGTACACTGGAAAAGTTACATAACAGTATGTCATAAAATATCAAGATATAGCAAGACTTTAAAGATGATCTTGTGATGGGGCACCTGGGTGGCTCAGTCGTTAAGTGTCTGCCTTCGGCTCAGGTCGTGATCCCAGGGTCCTGGGATCGAGCCCCACATCAGGCTCCCTGCTCTGAGGGAAGCCTGCTTCTCTCTCTCTTGCTCCCCCTGCTTGTGTTCCCTCTCTCGCTGTGTCTCTCTCTGTCAAATAAATAAATAAAATCTTTAAAAAAAAAAAAAAGATGATCTTGTGTAACTTCCCATCTAGTTCTAGAATCCAGTAATTGAATTCAACCTCCCTATTTTCTGGGGTCTCAGCAGGAATACATTGCTATGGAATCCCTATATTGTACTATTTTTGCCTTTAGGTTGTGATTATGATTTTTAAACAAAAGGGGATTTTTTTTTAATCCTTTAAAGATTCAGTATAGTTTCCTGACACTGATAATTCATGTAAATATATCTTCACATCCCATTTTGGCTCCATTTAGAATGTTTTAAAATACATTTTTTATATAATGAAGAAATCTTCATTTGTGAATTTTTCCCAAAAAATATGGCCTAAAGGTTACTTAGTATTACATGTTAAATATAAACATAAAACAATATAGGGGCGCCTGGGTGGCTCAGTTGGTTAAGCGTGTGATGTTAGCTCAGGTCATGACCTTGGGGTCCTGGGATGTAGCCTCCTGGCGGGCTCCCTGCTCAGTGAGGAGTCTGCCTGGCCCTCTTCCTTCCCCCCTGCTAGTGCTCTCTCTCGCAAATAAATAAATAAATAAATAAATAAATAAATAAATAAAATATTAAAAAGAAAAAAAACTAAAAAAGCAGCAGCAGCAATATAAAAGATTGAGATATTTCTTGGGTGATATTATGCTATTAAAAATGAATCATCACAGAACAAATGTTTAACAAATACATATAAAGACTTTACTCCTTTTAAAAAAGACTTCTTTCGAAGCCCAGAATCCTGGAATGTTGAAGACTTATGAATCTGCTAAAAAGAGACTATTATATTAGTCTGGTTTTAATGATGCTTTTTTCCTTTTTGGTCCCCCCGGAAAGGAACAGAGTCAACTCTCATTAATCACAGTAGTTATACTGTATTAAGTCTCTTGAACACTTCATTAGTGAATACGGAGCCATTGCTCCCAGAGAACAACTACAGGATTAGGTTTCCGTGAGCCTCTGGTTGCAGCGTTTTTGTCAACTGGCCAATACACAGCCTTGTTTTACATGTGTCTCTGTTTATTTATTTTTAAAGATTTTATTTATTTATTCATGAGAGACAGAGAGAGAGAGAGAAGCAGAGGGAGAAGCAGGCTCCCCGCGGAGCAGGGAGCCCAATGCGGGGCTCATTCCCAGGACCCTGGGATCAGGACCTGAGCCGAAGGCAGATGCTCCACCGTCTGAGCTGCCCAGGCGCCCGTGTCTCTGTTTAAAGACAACTTATTTTTTAATTTTTATGTATTTTTTTTTTCAGAGAGTGGGGGAGATGGGGAGGGGCAGAGGGAGAGAGAGAATTCCCAGGCAAACTCCATGCCCAGCGCAGAGCCTGAGGCAGGGCTCCATCCCACAACCCTGAGATCATGACCTGAGCAGAAATCAAGAGTCAGATGCTCAACCGACTGAGCCACTCAGGTGCCCCTAAAGAAAACTTATTTTGAGCTCATGCCAACAGCCCAAACGAAGCTTCTGTAATACATCTATTTTCTCTTTGAGACATAGCCCAGCCTTCTTACGCTTAGGAACCCTTGGGCGCTATGCTCAGGGATCATTTTAAACAGCAAAATCACACACGAAAAGCACAAAATGCAAAAAACGTGGCACTAAATAGACCATGAAAGGACACTTGTTGACAGGAGGTAAGCCAAACCAAGGCAGCAGGGGTCACCTGGTTTGATCTCAGCTGGGAACATGCATGATGGGAGTTTTTTGCCACCATGTGCATGTCAACAAATGACCACAAAAACATGGAGAGTGCTGTTTTGGGGGGCTACAAATATATTTTGGCAAGTAGCAAAATTTGCAAATACAGTATTCACAGATAATAAGGATTGACCATATTTACAAGATACACCCACAGAAGTTCTGGCGTGAATTAGGTGCAAGTCATGGGAGACATGAACAACCATGAATAGTCCTAGATATGAACATTAGCATCATCTTAAGTCTTTGTTCTCCTGACCTCTGTGCCTCCTTTTAGCTCAAGACTCTGTCTCTAGACATAGAGACATCCTTCAATGGACCATTATAAAGGGCCCTGTGGGGATGGGAGTGGGGAATAGTCTGAGGCCACGTGAAGTCAGGTGATTGGTCAAAGATCACAAGGTGAGTTACTAACAGATCTAGGACAAAATACATGGGGCTCCTGTTCTTCAAACCCATTTTAGCCTCATCATACGTCTCTGGCTTCTCACACTGCTGCATGGCGGGGCAGGAGACACCAGGGTGTGTGTGCTGCTGATAGCAACAAAAACCTGATTGGGAACAAGACCAAGTGTTCCTGTTGAATGATCTTCCTTTGACAGCTTTATCTCTATAATAATCTCATGTTAGATATTTGCTATCGCTCTGTGGCAGGTAAACTAGAGATTTATCTGCTTAAAATCACCACTACCAGCTGGACTGTGGTGAGGGTTATAGGAACTGTCCCAGCCTCCCCTCTATCTCTCCTCTCACTACTCAACCTGAGCAGTAGTGTCCAGACTCCCCTTAGAACCAATTTCCTACCTGAGACATGGGGTGGGCCTTACCTCTGCATGTGGAAAGAGATCTTATAGTTTCTCTTGACATAGAACTGTGATCAAACTCCTCTTGGAACTAATAAACTGGCGCTTTCCACATATTTGATTAAAATATGCCTAATAACACACTTAAGCCTGGATAAAGTCAGTCCTACTTGAATCTCACTTTAACTTTGCAGGGATAAGAAGTAAAACAATGATTTATATGTTGATTTTTTGAAAATACATACACAACCACTTTATATATTAATATTAAATTTTGAGATGTCTCCACAAACACATCTTCATCTAAATTTTGCTCCCTTGTTGAAAATGGTTCTTGGGGACCTAAGTCTAAACTGGCGTGTGTGGAAGGCTGGATGGATATAGTGCTATGGGCCCAACCTTCTGTATTAAATTAAATATTAAATGTTATATTTAATAACTTTTTTATTATAAAAAACTATATTTAAGAACTTTTTTTATAAGCAATTTTTTGGACTTGGGCTTGGCTGGCTTATCTTTGTTGCATTATCTAAATAGAAAAACAATCTTTAACATTCTTCTCCACTTCTATTTGCTTTATTAATTTTGTTAACATTGATTAGTGGTGTTAACCTTTTGGTGCTTTAGAAGTACCAATCATTCATTAAGGCAAGGAATTATTTCATAGTTCTTCTACTAGGGCATACTTACCTAACACAGTGCTCCCAGGAAAATTTCATTAATTCACACTGATCATCCTTCTAGTTAGCAAATTCCATAGGATTTGGGAACTAGGAGGATTTGGAACGGACACATTATTTCAGTGTCTTATTATAGGCAAAGAAATCTGAAATCTAAAGAAGTTAAATAATTGCCCCAAATTGTCTAAAATGTACAGGAGCCAGAGACAAAAATTATGTCTCCCCTAAAGCAAGGCTGTGCTGTTCCCACCATCTCTCCTGCCATGTAGGAAATAAGGAGGCTTTCCTGCATGCTGAAATTGTATCTATTGTATGGAAAATACTAATGTCTGAATGCGTCAGTTTACGTATCTGTATACACACTGAGATCTAGTTTCTTCTCTTTCAGTCATACATCATTTTTCTACAAAACAAAGAAGAATCAGAGCAATAAAAGAAATGGCCAGGGTCTTAGTTCCCGGAGGTCAGCTGATGATTTACGTGTGGGCCATGGAACAGAAGAACCGGCACTTTGAGAAGCAAGATGTGCTCGTTCCGTGGAACAGGGCCTTATGCTCCCGGCTTTTCGCAGACTCCAGCCAACCTGGGAGAAAACAGCCGTGTGTACATCCAGAAAGAAGCCAACCCTACCACCCTCCTTGCTCTGTCTGTAGCTGTTCTGTTTGTTTTCAAGAGCAGTGTCATTCACAACGGTCCCACAGCCTGGACTATGAGCCACTGATGGCTGGAATGTGTTGTGCAGATGTTTCTAAGGGAGGGGAGGAAGAAAATGGATTCTCTAACACGTTAGGAAGATCTTTTCGCTCCTGGTTTTTCTCTAGGTCTTTGGATGAATCAACTCTGAGGAAACAAATTGAAAGGGCGAGACCCTTGAAAAATACAGAAGGTTGGGCCCAAAGCACTATATCCATCCAGCCTTCCACACACGCCAGTTTAGACGCAGGTCCCCAAGAACCATTTTCAACAAGGGAGCAAAATTTAGACGAAGATGTGTTTGTGGAGACGTCTCAAAAGCAACTGGAGTGGCCGAGAGCACCAGCCACAATGAAACATCTATGTGGGGACCAACAAGGAGAAGTTAGGAGAAATGGAGATGGGAATTTTCTGGAAGGTGCCAATACTAGTGAGAATGGCATGAATGCAGGTGATGTGGATGAAAGTCCCCCTTCTGCTAGTAGAATCCTGAGAAGGATTTCTGCACTTGACTCCACAGATTCCAACCCAGAGGAGACAATTTCTGTCGAAGACCAACAGCCCAATGTTCTGGATTCCAGAGCCTTTATGCGCTACTACCATGTGTTTCGAGAAGGTGAGCTCTATGGCCTGCTGAAGGAGCACGTGGCAGAGCTGCATGTTCTGAGCTCTGGGAATGATCATGGCAACTGGTGTATCATTGCTGAGAAGAAGGACAATTGTGACTGACTGGGGCATTTTAGACAATTCCTCCAAAAGGTGGACCATGTTCTTTTCACTGGGTTTAGTTATGGTTACCTGAATTTGTGTCCAATTTTATTATTTTTAATCCATGTATGCTTTGGTTTGTAAAGCTGATGAGTTGGTCAACTTTTAAATCTTTGGATGAACCCAGAGCCTGGCATGTAAAGCATTTGACTAAGGGTATTTGTAAATTATTAATATAAGACAACTGAAGAAGCAATAGGAAGTGAACTTCAGTATTGTTGGGATCTTCTTTTCCCTGCAAGGTGAAATTATTATGAGGATACATGTATATCATTTGTCAGTATTAGATGCTGATTTTAGCCGTTTCTGGGTGTTGACTTTTTTTTATTACTATTGAAGGAGGGTCAACATACGATGTTATATTAGTTTCAGGTGTACAACACAGTGATCTGACAATTCCATACAAGATTCTGTTTTTATTTTTATAATGAAGGGGGTGGGTGAGTTTTGCTTCTCAGGCTACACTTTAGATCCATATGCAAGATAACAGGTAAACTCCACTGCGCAGATGTAAATGGAATCACGCGATACGTTAATTTGTCGCCAAGGCCTTGCTCTTACTTGAAGTCTTTCAAAAAGTGAGAGATGGTGGAGAGAGACAAGAAGTGTTATAAGAACTTTTCTGAATGATAAGCAGACTTGCTTCCAAATACACAAATAACAAGGTTTTCAATGTTGCACGGAAGGTTTTTAAAGGCACTGTGAACCTGTAGAGAGTGGTAGGTGTGGGTACTAGACGCCGTGGCAAGTACCCGGGTGGTATCTTCATGACCTCATTCGAAGCAGGAATGTCTGGTTAAGATAAGACCAAGGTTGACTAATGAGGAGTTTTCATCTAGAATGACGCTTTTCTTATGAACTGAAGGGGTATTTAGGAAATGAGAATCTGGTTGAAGCACCATTTTATTTTGGCTCTCATTATAAATACACTGTTAAGGGGCAAGATATTTGTCCTTGATAGAGGATCTATTGTTGGATTGTTTTAAAAAAAATCTGGGCATTTATCTTATCGAAAGTGACATTTTATTAGTTATATTAGGAATTTAGGCAGAATTAAGCCCTATTAATTCAAGGTTGAATTTCTGCCACTTTGTAGGCAAATGAATAGACTGGGTGTTGTATGGTCACTGCATCTGTTTAGATTAACTGTGGGCCTGTTTAAATCTACGTCATGGGTCAGGAGACAGATATAATTAGGAATTGACATTTGACAGAAGTCTTTTTAATTTATGGACCATTGTAATCCTGGACCAAAACTCAATTCTTGTTTTGTATAAGATTTCATTTGTTTTGGGTTCTTTATCCCCTCCGTGATTGTCCTCTAGCTTAAGATAATGTTGCTATTTTCAGAGAAACCTAAAGGATTATTTTTAATGCTTATCTGAAAATGACTGATGTGTTTATCTCTTTTGGCTTCAAAATGAGATCCCATCATCACCTTTTTGGTTGGTGAGATTGTCTGGTGGACAATATATGAGATATAGGATTTGTAGTGTTTGGGACACAGTTTGCATTAGAGGGACAATGAAAACAGACCTAGAAGTGGAATATAAATTAAAGATTAATTTAGTGTCTTCCATTTCTTTGTTTTAAATTTTAGTTAACATACAGTGCAAAATTGCTTTCAGGAGTAGAATCCAGTGATTCATCACTAACATACAACACCCAGTACTCATCACAACAAATGCCCTCCTTAATTCCCATCACCCATCTAGCCCATCCCCCACCTCCCTCCCTCCATTAACCCTGTTTGTTCTCTACCATTAAGAGTCACTTATGGTTTGTTTCCCTCTCCTTCCCCCCCCTTGCCATATGTTCATCTGTTTTCTTTCTTAAATTCCACACATGAGAGCATACAGTATTTGTCTTTCTGACTTATTTCACTTAGTGTAATACACTCTAGCTCCATCCACATCATTGCAAATGGCAAGCTTTCTTTCTTTTTGATGGCTGAGTAATATTCCATTGTGTGTATGTCTATGTGTGTGTGTGTATATATCTTCTTTATCCATTCATCAGTCGATGGACATTTGGGCTCTCTCCATAGTTTGGCTATTGTTGATAATGCTGCTAATAAACATTGGGGTGACTATACCCCTTTGATTCTGTACTTTTGTATCCTTTGGGTAAATACCTAGTAGGGCAATTGCTGGATCATAGGGTCTCATTTCTTAAATTAGGACATTAAACATTAGTATAAGTGGTTTTCTTAGTAGAAAGAAAATATTCTCTGAGTTGGAGAAGTTCTTACAGTTAAGTCTTGATGGCCTTTTTATTACGAGTGGATTTTTCCTCTCCTTGAAGCTTGTTGTCACATGTATCTTTAATGCCAACCTTGCTGCTAGAAATCTGCTTGAAGTCATCTCTTTCTGGTGGGAGTGTACCAGTTACATGGAACCCCGCATATTAGGCCGGCCGCACCAAAATAGCTGTGCCCTAACCTGTGTGAGCGACCTGGGCACACACCCTACTTTACATAAGATGATTCTCTAGATTGGTTCTTGAGAAAGATTTTCCCATAATTTTGACAAGGCTGTAAATAAGAAGCCATCAATAATAGCAGTCTTTTGCTCTTCATCTGCTGAGCACAAGAATTCTATGCATCCAGATATTTTTGTGTGTGTGAATATTGAACACTCCATGGTTGATAACCTCTCTTTGGTATATTCACGTGAAAAGCACTCTCAACTCTAATATCCGCCTTTGGAGATTATATATATATGTCGTTGAAGAGCCAAGCTAATGTAAGTATCTTAATCATTTAAAAATCTTGCTCATCTTTAGGACTGTCCTCAAATGGAAATACAAATCATAAGCGACTTTAAGCATACACAGGTTACTTATGAGTGTTCAGTCTGCCTTAACTTGCTTAGCTATAGATTTTGCTGATCTGAAGTAATATGAAAACTTGGACTCCGTTATAATACTGGATCAAAGAGTGTCTTCCCTGTTCCTTCTCTGTTCCTTGCTGGCATCCCTGCAGAGTCCCACTATCTGAAGTAGCAGAAAGTGTTTAGGAGATTACTGGAGGGTTTTTCCTTAAAAACCTTTGCTGGCCAGGGCACCTGGGTGACTGAGTCGGTTAAGTGTCTGACTCTTGATTTTGGCTCAGGTCATGATCTCCGGGCCCTGGGATCCAGCCCTGCTTCGGGCTCTGCGCTCAGCAGCAAGTCTGCTTGAGGATTCACTCTCTCCCTCTCCCTCTGCCCTGCTCATGCATGTGCGCTTTCTCTTTCAAAATAGATTAAAAAAAAAAAAAAGTTTAAAAAAAAAAAAACAACCTTTTTTTCTTTTTAAAAGATTTTATTTATTTGACAGAGAGAGACACAGCGAGAGAGGGAACACAAGCAGGGGGAGTGGGAGAGGGAGAAGCAGGCTTCCCGCAGAGCATGGAGCCCGATGCGGGGCTCGATCCCAGGATGCTAGGATCATGACTTGACCTGAAGGCAGACACTTAACCATTGAGCCACCCAGGCGCCCCCATTAAAAAAAAAAAAAAAAATCTTAAAAAAAAAAAAAAAAAAAAGAAAGCCCTTGCTGACTTACTGATGCCTCACTGGCCTATTTAAGGAAGACGCACAGTCCAGTGATTTGGGGTAGACTGCATTAACATGCGGGAAAGGATGCAATCAAAATAACATCACATTGGCAACCATGCACATGCTCTATTTAAATTATTATTTTTTAAACTGTCACTAAGGTGATGAAGTGACACCAGCACGTCTTGTAACAAACAAACCCTGTGACAACTGTCTCAGGTTGCCACGTCGGTCTGATCCTCCTCTCTTACCACACTGTCCGATGCAGGATGGTGTAGGATTCTTGTTTCTAGTTTGCCCTTCTATGTTCTTCCAAATTCTAGATGTCAAGAATTCCTCTATGTTTTAACTGACCATCAATTGAAAGGGCAAATATTGTAGGTAATCCAGAGAGAAAGCGATCCAAATCCAAATCATCCAGGAACATTAATGTAATTGTACATTAATAGCCACACAAAAAATAAGCACCGATGAATTTTTTATAAAACTAAATGGGTTCGGAGGAGGACAGAGGGGCTAACCCAAGAGTTGTGGGACTTGGTCGGGGAAGGTATTCCTTACAATGGAGCTCAGTTTGGGAGGGGTGGAGGAAATGGGGTCTAAGCAGCTGCAGCCTAAGGGAAAAAAAAATAGGGCAGGCCTGAGCTCTTCCCTGCTATTATGTAGAAAATGTGAAATAATAAGAGCAGCTAATTTAATATCTACCATTAATTATTCTATCTGTAATCCTTATCACAATATAAGTATATAAATATACTTATTGTTTTCTAGGAAAACTGAGAAAGAAATGAATTAAATTGCCTAATATCACACACATAGCAAGTATCCCACATGTAGTAAGGGGCGGGGTTGAGATTCAAATGCAGGCAGGCTGGCTCCCATCCTCTGCTCTCAACCACAACACTGTATGACACATGCAGTCGCGGTGCTTGGCCGATTATAAGAGCCGTTCAAGGGAAGTGGGATCATCCCCTTTACAAGTGAACTTCAGCAAAGTTAAGCAAAGATGTCACAGTTACACAATAATTGGATAGTAATCCCTTACATCTTTTACACCTATCTTTTTCACTTGTAACCCTGTTTCAATTTGATTTTAATAAGAAAAATAGTCTTTGTCACAAAATGCTCCAACTCTTCCACCCTTTAAACATTGTTATTACTGTGTTTCCTTTTTATGGGTGAGAAAATTGAGGGCTATTCAGATATTTCACTCATTTTGTTTGTTGACTGAACCCTGCTCTGTGCCAGATACATAGGATATGAGGCAATGAACCTCAGGTATGTTGAATATACACAGAATATTAAAATTAACTGACTCAAAGGAGCCATGCCGTCGTACACCTACCACCTCGTTGTACTTGACATAATCTACAAAACGCCCTCTTAGAGAATCGCCGTGCCTGTTGAAGGCCTACCCTAAAGTAAGTTTGGACTTAATGTAACCAAGCTTGCCCTCAACACATAAACATCCTCCAGCACAAGCATTCTGACAAGCATATTTAAGAAAATGATGCGTCCGACAGAATAAACTGCAAACCCCCTAGGGTGGCACTCAGGCTCTTCATAAATTGACTATTTTTCAGGCTCATCTCCTGCAATTGCACCCAATTTTTTTTTCTGTTCTGCAATCTGCTGTTTTAAACAACGCTTTTATTA